TCTCTCTCTCTCTCTCTCTCTCTGAAAGGAGTGTGGAATGGGGCTGAATGCAAGAAGGATCAAGACAATGTGCATTAGTAAATCAACTCCAGACAGATTTGTAGTACAGGCAAAAGGAAAAGACTTGGAACAAGTTTAGGAGTATCAGTATCTAGGAAGTATGATGACAGAAGATGGAAAGGTAGAGGTTGAAGTTAAAAAAAGAAAAGGATTGACAAACTTAAGCTAATTCCATCCTGGGATTGCAAATAATTTCTAAGAAGGGACTTCAACTTAGAGTTGAAGACTAAAGTCCTGAGATGCTATGTGTTTTCTGTAGTTGTCTTAGGAGAATATTGAGAATCAGTTGGGAAGAGAGAACATTTGACATCGTGGTGGCACAAGAACTGGAATGTAGAGACCCTTCGTGATCTCATGCAACGTAAAATACGCTATGCAGGTCATATTTGCCGAGGCAGTGCAGCGCAACCAAGCAAGCACACTCTTAGAAGGCACAATTAAGGGGTCCAGAGCAAGAGGAAGACAGAGAATTAAAGTGAGTGATGACATCAAGAGATGGTGTTGAACCACATCTTACCTGGAGGCGAAGAAAGTAGCAGAAAATCGTGTTAAATGGATAGAACATGGTGGCCAACCTTCGTATCGAAGATGGCACATGGTGGTGATGATGATGGTGATGATGATGATGATGATGATGACGAGTGTTAGGCATGTAAGACATTAATTAGAATATACAAAATAATATTTACCATCAACGCGTCCAATACTTGACTCAATAACTATTGGATATTGCCCACTTTCCAGTCTTATAACATACATATTTTTATGTGTATCAGAAGCATAAAACAATATATGGCTGCGTATATCAACTGCCACCGCTGTTACATTTCCATAATATTTGCCAAGAATATCAGAAATGTATTGCTGTTTATCATCTAGACCATAATGGAGAAGAGTTGGGTGAAATCTGGAAACGCCGTTCATCCTTCCAATTACGCAGTATGGTGGGTGATATAAGGATAAATCTGAAAAAAAGCATAAGCTTTAATATTGCAACGGCCAAACTTTTGGAACAGAAGGTGGTATATTAATTTGTATGACAGATCGGGAGCGAGTGCGTAAACTGCCCTTAATATTTCAATTCATGTGTGTACTAATAACAACAATGGTAGTTGCTAAATACGACCACTTCAGCTAAGGGGGAATGACTTCTTAAGGGGACGTCATGCATAATTTCAGCTGTCTACGTCTTCATTCCTAATCTCGACAAAAGATCGAGCTCTGGTAATCACACGGCAAAATACAGTACCGTACAACCAAAGTAAGAAAAATAAGTTGTCCCTGTGTGGTTTTTTCCCCGAAATTATGATCCCTGGAATATTATCAATTTTATGGGGCCTGCATAGGATGAAATGATACATATAGCTGGTCTTATTTTAGGGGTAGGGATAAGGCCGTAATCATAGAAAGAAATTAAAAAAAATTTACTAAACTATAATACTACTTAATACCACCATACTTAGTCTATGAATTTTTCCATTTTTAATCCGATGAACAATTTATCTTACTGGAGGATATAATGGGCCTAATAAATAATAACTTTTACAACATGATTGCTGAAGATTAGATTTTATTTTTATTGTTTTAATGCTTTTATACAAAATTGCCATGGCTATGCCTATATTCCAAATGCCAAATTTTAAAATTTGAATATGCTTAAACATACAAAAAAAAAAAATCAGTGCGCAGTTGAATTAAAATTATTCTTCATAGTGTTTGTTTAATTAATAAACTGTTAATTAAATATCAGGAAAGTCGTGCTCTCAGATTTCTTTACCTCCATATAATAGAACACTTTGTAATTCTTAAGTGAAGGGAGCATTCTAACGGGCCTCTTTAAATCTAATATTGTTTATCATCAAGCGTGTTCAACGGGAGGAATTAGAAACAGGCTAAGCTCCTAGGATTAGCTGATGGCGCTGGCCTAGGCCTAATAAAACGAGATAGCTATTTTTTATTTCGCATTATTTAAATAGTTAATTTTTATTGGCTCCTTTCAATACAAAACTATGAAAGATAATGCAGTGTATACTGAAAATTTGATCACAGTATTTAGTGAGAGCACCCAATGAAGCAAAATAATTCAATTACAAAAATACTGTACAAGTCAATCTATTGTATACCGTGGGATCTATGTATACATATACAATGCATCTAATGCTTATTAATGTAGTTATGCCTTATTTGGTGGATAGGTCAGAATGACATAGTGTTTGCGAGCTATACAACGCTAAGTAGCATTTTCTATTTTGTGTTTGTGTGTTTGTTTGTGTGTGTGTGTGTTTTTTTACCAACGTCAGTATTTTTTGTGGGAAATTGTATTATAGTTATAATTGGATGGGGTATAAGAAAATATTGTTGGAGACATAATCAACAATGTTTTCGGGAAAGCAAAGTGATGAATAATTTTCTAGAATGAGGATATAAACAATTTCATCTAATAGTGATAAATGCAATCTTAATTTTTCAAATAGTTAATGGCTACAGATTTACACATGGGTTATGTGTTACCGTATTTATTTAAAAATACTAGAGCTCTCATGCATTCTATGTTATATAAACGCAGCGTTGTGTATCGGTAGATTCAGCCAACGAAATTACGCCTATGCATTTTGCTTAATTTTCATATAAAATCTTTGAATATTAGATCAATTTTTACGCTTTTATATTGTATATTATTTTTTTATATCTTTGTCCTAGCAAGGCTAAGATAAGATTTTATTTTTGCTATTTCAACATAATTAGTATAACTTATAATTGTAATTTGTATACTAGTTCTTAATATTGCACTCTTTCTAACAACGGGCATTTTGGAGAATAACGATACACAATCATGCTTTGTTAATTACCGTACTAGGCCTACTTTAATATGTAATACTTCTACTATATGGCTTCACTATATTTCTGACGTCAGTTAACTAATTTTCAAAACCTCCTCACAATTTAGTACATATAGATTGTCCATTATTAAGGAAGCTCAAATACACACCAATGCCGCAGGTCACATTTAGATTAAAAAAAAAAAAAACATTTACCTTCATTATTTGCATGATTTGCATCTATTTTACAAAATATCCTAACAGGGAATAGTGAAATTACACTGTTCCCTGATCTTAGGCATATAAAATTTCCGATACAACATAAGTAAAACATACGAACCAATACTGCATGTTCCATTTGGATTTAAAACATAGTTATCCCTGCAAATACATTCGTGTTTTCCGTCGGCGGCCGATACACAAAAGTGACCACAAGTATGTCCATCACACGGCACTAAAAAAAGAAATGGGATACAGGTTAAAAATTAGCAGTTATAACAGAAATTGTTGTTATTTTTAAACAAACTATTATAGGCATACTTACATGTTACTGGCTTCTGCTGGATATTCGGACCCGTGACACACACGTCGTTTACGAAGAGAGAGTTATCGAAGCTATATTCAAACACCAATTCGCTTGGCGTGGACTTGTTGTAGTAACGAATACTATATTCAGTTCCAACAAACACACTTACAAATATGTAATCCTAAAGGAAGCAAATATTTAATTTCAAATTGAT